GGGAGGGAATTGGGGGTGCTTACCAGAAAGCAGTTTTATGCTTACTTTCAGTTTTCAGTGGCCACTTATTGACAGATAGTTAGGACTGTGGGGAGACCCCTACTCTGCACGTTAGTCTTATTTGGTTAGTCTTATTTGTCCTACCCTGAACTGTACATCCCCTAATGGGAATAACCTTTCCCTGCCTCCCCCTCTTCCCACTCCCTCTACACCACCCCCCACCCCCTTCCCTTCCCACATACACTAGGATCGGGGAAATCCATTTATCTCCTGCTTGGCCAGGTCTTAAAAGAGCATTGTAACTTTACCAGCCACATGTTGGACACCAAACATGTCGAGTTCACACACTACACAAGGCTAGGCCAAGTCTTAAGGATTCTTCCGGGAAAGATACAGTGGGGTATATTTAGATTTAGACAGTTTATTGCTTACCTAGAGAGTGAAAAGAAGAATCGGTCCCAGTTTGCCAAGATCATTGTCCCCCCACAGAAAAGGACAACCCTGAAACAAAAGGGGCCAGATGAGTGGAATGCAAGTAATGAAGTACCCCGTTGTTAAGGAGCCCCCCTCTTCTCTAAGGCAGGAAGTCCACACTCCATCAGAACCCACAGAGCAGGAGAAGCTGTCTCATGACAGCCTCCTAGGGGACTTAGGGAGTTCAGTGCCAGGTGGCCTCAAGGCAGCTCTGAGCAGGCATCCAGGCTCTGGCATTCCTGGAGGATCGCAGGGCATTCAGCCTGAAGATCAGAGAAGGCTGCGTCCAAGCCTTTGTGTGTATGGACACAAGGCTGGGAGGGTGCCATGGCGGAGCTATTACCCAACAAAGTGACAAAGGCTGTTAGTGTTGGGGCTGGAGCTAGAACAAAATCTACTGCCAAGTAGTCCCTGACTCCTCAACGGCTGCCAGCCACGGATGACTGAGCGCAGACGAATCACATGGCCATGAGACAGGCATTATTTTTCCCTATAAAAATTACCCTTGTTTTAAAAAAAAATCACTTAAATATGAGTTACATGCTAATTATTTGTGATTTCATACCACATTTAAGAGGAGAGTATCATTTTTATTTAGTTGAAATTATTTCCAGAAATCGAGAAATCAGAAAATATAAAGACACAAAAAGAAGAAAATCAAATCTTTCCTAACCCTAACACCCTGCATATGTCAGAGTGTCTTGTACACATAGGTGCTTAGTAAGCATTTGTGAAATGAACCCATAAATACTGAGATCCTGAGAGTAAGTAGGCATTGTCCCTCCTTGCTTGTCCTTGGTGAATAGACTTCCACACTCTCCCCATGTGTCATCTACAAATACCTGTTTTTAAAAATGAAAGCATACCACATATTCTCATATTCTCTTTCGTTATTTGTCATTTACTAAAAAAGAAATATGAATATCTTTCTATATCAGTAAACACTTTTGTTTTAATGAGTGAATTCAACACCCTCGCTCTTTGGAATGTCACCTGGCAGAGGCCAGCCCTGCCATTCATCCTGGAGAGAATCCCTTAGGAGGTTCTGTTCTGCTAAGTGGTAGTTAGAACCTTTCTGAGAACTTGGGGCTTTCTAACTGGCTCAGGTTACAGTCTAATGGTTGGCACACAGACACAGCACACATCTCTCAGCAAGTGTTCTGGTGTCTTTCTAAAATAAGTCCTTACATAAATAGATCCTCATTAAGTTCCACTGAGTAAACTTACTGAGAAGAAGACGACGAAGGAGGAGGGAAGAAAGCAGGGCCTGGGCAAGGGGGGAAATGTCCCAGAAACCTCCAAACTGATAACTGGGATGTGGTGCCAGAGACTTTGGATTCCAGGGAAGAAGCTGGTACCCAAGTAAATAGCTTTTGGTCTAGTCTTTTAAAACATGACATTTCCCCCCTTATTTCAAGTTCATGTAAAAATTTTAAAAATCAGGGTATAAAGGAGGAAGGAAACTACTATAAGCTGACTCAGAGATAACCTGTGTTTGTGTTTTTATAAATATGTGACATGTAATTTGACTTGAACTTAACAGAAGGAAAAGAACCCAAACTTCAAATAAATATTTCTTCAAAATGAGATATTATTTCTCAAAAAGAGTCCTCTAAAATTAAATAATTAAGAGACATATTAGGAAGTTGGGGTTATTGCAGAGGTTCTCAAGTTGGGGTGATTTTACCCCTCTGGGGACATTTTGGCAATATCTGGAGACGTTTTTGGTTGTCATACTTGGGAGGGACCTAGGGTGCTGCTGAACATCCTACAATGCACAGGGCAGACTCCACAGCAAAGGATTATCCAGCCCAGAGTGTCAACTGCTGTGAGAAACCATGGGTTATTGCATAGTTGTTTTAAATAGCACACAGTTTTAAAGGGCCCAAGTTTGTTTCTGGTTAGTAAGACAGTTTTCTCAGGGACCCGTGGAGTAAGTGGTTGAGAGCACAGCCTCTAGCACAGTGGTTCTCAACCTTCTGGCCCTTTAAATACAGTTCCTCATGTTGTGACCCAACCATAAAACTATTTTCGTTGCTACTTCATAACTGTAATGTTGCTACTGTTATGAATCGTAATGTAAATATCTGATATGCAGGATGGCCTTAGGTGACCCCTGTGAAAGGGTCGTTCGACAGCCAAAGGGGTCGCGACCCACAGGTTGAGAACTGCTGCTCTAGCAGGTGGTCTGAGCTTGAACTCTGACTCACCAGTAAAGTGACCTTGAGTAATCTCTCTGGGCCTTAGTTTTCTCATCTACAAAACTGTGGTCATGTTAAACCTACATCATACAGCTGTAGCGAAGACTGAATGACATAATATAATTAAAATGCTTGGAACAGAATCTGGTTTATACTAAGCTCTGTAGAAATATTTGCTATTATCATTACTACTAATACTATTGTTATTCATATCTAAATAAACCAACAGAAAACACAAATTAAGCTTACTTTTAGGATAATTCTCCTATGGAATTTAGTAGACAAAAATAGATATGTAAGTAAAGTATTTTTTTAATGGAAATTTTAAGAAAAATAAATGAAATGAATATGTAGGGCCCACTTCTAAATCTCAGGAGTGAATACATGAATTCAGAGATTCAGTAAGGCTTTCCTGTTTTCTTGAATTACCTGATGGGTGACTTATTGTTTCAGAAAACACTTTCTTTTTTTCCTCCTTTAGATTAAAAAAATTTGAAAGCGTTCTCATAGTTCAAAACTCAAAACAATAAAACAAGATCTACAGTGCACAGTCTTACTCCCACTGCTGTCCCCTCCACCCTCCCACAGGTAATCAGTTTAATTAGTTTCTGCTCAATCCAATGTTTCTCCATAAAAGCAAATGCAAATGCTGTGTATTTTTATTTAGCTCCTCTTTCTTAGACAAAAGATATACTTTTCCATTTAACAATCTATCTTGGTTATCTCTTTCTATGTTAGTGCACAGGGAGTTGCTTTATTCTCTTTTAAGGTGATATAGTAGTCAATTATGTAGATGTCCCCTACTTTGTTTATAAATGTGTTTGTAATTTTTATAGATATTAACAAATTGTCCTCCACATAGGGTTGTGTCATTTTATGCTCCCACTGGTTTTTCTTCAAGAGAATATGCCTGTTTCTCTCCAAGAATCATATAGTTTACAGACAATCAACTGTTCAAAATCATACCACACTGGTAGGCATTACTGGGAGGTAGAAGTGGAAACAGCCTAAATGGATGTTGGGGCTTGTCAAAGCTGCCTTCCTAGGAATTGGCAGAATGAACTGTTATTCAGGGTGGATTCTGAATTGGATAATATATATTGAGGCAATCATGTTGCATTGGTTCTAAGAGGATCCAGTTTTTAATGCCAATAGTAAGACCCAGTAAGACTGGTGTTTTTCTAGACTATGAGTTAGGTGAAGTGCCTTCTATAGTTTGAATGATATATCTCTATAATAATTTTTTTTTCTCTTTCAGAGAGGAAGGGAGAGGGAGAGAGAGATAAAAACATCAATGATAAGGGACAAACATCGATTGGCTGCCTCCTGCACACTCCCTACTAGGGATCGAGCCCAAATGTGGGCATGTGCCCTGACCTTGTGGTTCATAGATTGACGCTCAACTACTGAGCCACACCGCAGGGCAGATCGCTATAATTTTGAGGCCTCTTTTGCAGAACCCATTGGTCTAATTTTAATACTGGACAGATTCTGATTCTCTTGAAATCTCTTTAGTAACAGATTGTGAAAGACGAAGTACCTGGGAAACTACTGTTTCATTTGCTTTCAGTTTGCAAGTGTAAATTAATCAGTAAATTTTGGTCTCAATATTTGTGGATTCTTTTAAAATGTTACCCCCCAAAACCAAAATATATCTAGTTTCTTCCTCATTTTTCAGCAGGTATAAAGACATCATAGAAATGTCGATTTCATAGATGCTATGGGTATTGTCAAGTGCTTTTGAAATTCTAAGATAAAATATTTGAGAATTACATTAATTAACACAGCTTAATAATTTTTTATTTAAAAAAATGCACATTGCATAGTTTACTTCATATTTGTATTCCTTCTTATCAGCTTCTTGTTTTTTTCTGGAGTTTCTAATTGTTGATTGCATGAGATATTTATCTTTATCTCATTGACAGCAAGCTGCAGTAGATTTAAATGCTTCTATAGAGGAGCCATAGGCATTCTACTATATCTCACCAAAGGGCTCAGTTTCTCTAAAACCCTGGACCCCAAATATCTATACCTCAGTTTGCAAACATATCCCATTTTTCCCAAATCTCATTCCTCCGAGGACCTCAGTTCCCCCAGTTTCACCAGGTACTCATTCTCTCAATATTCTAACTCCTGTGTGCTCATTGTTTTCAGTGTTCTCCTTTTGGAACTGCAGGCCATCCTGGTGCCTACCTACTACATAATGTGGTTTTGCCCAGCCTACTTGCTGTGATGTGGCCATCAGACACTCTCCCATCTCATCTTCTCTCCATGAAGTGCCTGCCTGGTTGGGCATGGTTATTCAGCTTTGGTTGAACCCTACAGGTGCTGAGCAAGGCCAAGTATGGTCCAATGTGGGTAACCCGTGTAGGACCTCAGACCCATGTGAACCTGGCCAGTGCCCCACTCCTGGAGCAAGTCATGCGGCAAGAGGGCAAGTACCCAGTACGGAATGACATGGATCTATGGAAGGAGCACCGGGACCTGCAGGGCCTGGCATATGGGCCCTTTACCACGTGAGCTGGGGCCTGAAGGGACTGGAACAGGGCCCCAGAGGGCCAGGCCCAAAGAACAGTGGCACTGGGCAACCAGTAGATCATGGGCAGGGTAGGCTCTCCCTGCAACCTCTGAACCTGATACTCAGTCTAGAAAGCAGTGGCTGGGATGGACTAAACCCTGGGGACCATTCACTGACTTTTCTACTAGTATATTGTGATTTTGGACAAATGAATAATTTTCCCTTCCTTGGCTTTATCCTAATATATAAAAAGCCAGGGGCCATCACGACCGAAACAACCAGATGGACGACTGAACAGCAGGCTGCATGGGGCAACCAGGCTGGCAGTGGGGTTAGTGAGGGACGACCAAATGACTGAACAGTAGGCTGCGTGGAGTGACCAGGCTGGTGTGGGGGAGGGCAGTTGGCGGTGACCAGGCCAGCGAGGTGGGTGGGCAGTAAGGGGTGACCAGGCTGGCGAGGGGGGGCAGTTAGGGGTGAGAGGGGTAACCAGGCTGGTAGGGAAGGTGCAGTTAGGGGTGACCAGGCAGAGGAGGACGGTAGGGGGCAACTAGGCTGGCAGGCGGGGGCAGTAGTGAGATTCTAAAGTTCTGTGATTCAAAGAGTCCATCATTTGAAAGTTTGGTGATTCTATCATTTTCAACCTCAAAATGAGATTTTCCTAGACTCCATAGTGGTCTCATGGTGGGAAGATGCCTTCTAATCTAAACCCCATTAGCTACTCACATTGGTGCTGCTCCTTTGTTCCCCACAGGCAAGGACATCACTGGTACCAGCTGCGCCAGGTTCTGAACCAGCGGATGCTGAAGCCAGCTGAGGCTGCACTCTACACAGATGCTCTGAATGAAGTGATTGACAGTTTCATGGTTCGACTGAATGAGATTCGGGCAGAGAGTGCCTCTGGGGATCAGGTGCCTGACATGGCTCACCTTTTCTACTACTTTGCCTTGGAAGGTACCTTTGTTGGGAGAGGGGTTGGGTGGGCATGGGTCAGGGGGAGGTTGTGCTTGCCCTCCTCAAAGCCCCCTGGGTTCTGTGTGCCATGGCACCGCCTCCTGTGTTGGCCTTTGTGCACTGCCAGCTATTTGCTACATCCTGTTTGAGAAACGTATTGGCTGCCTGGAGCGCTCCATCCCCCAGGACACTGCGGCCTTCGTCAGATCTGTCGGGCTCATGTTCCAGAACTCGCTCTACGCCACCTTCCTCCCCAAGTGGACCCGTCCCCTGCTGCCCTTCTGGAAGCGATACCTGGATGGCTGGAACACCATCTTCTCTTTTGGTGAGGAACCCAGGAAATGAAGTTGGGGGTGGGTCCCAGGGACTAGGAATTAGCAGTCTCTCCCAGGACCTTCTCCCTCATGCTGCCAGCTTTCAAAGTGGCGCTTGGTCCATGGAGATCATGACTTTTGACCTTGTCCTCCCCTGTTGTCCATTGTCCCTGTAGGGAAGAAATTGATTGATCAGAAACTCAAAGAGATAGAGGCCCAACTGCAGGCAGAAGGGCCAGAAGGGGTCCAGATATCTGGCTACCTGCACTTCCTGTTGACCAGTGGACAGCTCAGTCCTCAGGAGGCCATGGGCAGCCTCCCTGAGCTGCTCATGGCTGGAGTAGACACGGTGCGTGAGGGGGGCCAGCGAGGAGAATGGGGCTCCCATCCTGATCCAATTCCCCATTATCCCCCACCTGAACCTGACCTTCGTCCCTCCAGGTATCTGCTTCTCTTTCTGTAACATGGATGTAGAACTAGAAGGAAAATAGGGAGGGGGGTGTCATTCAGCCCAGGAGAGGTGGGCAGGGAATTGTCCTTTTGTAGTGGGATCCCATCCCCTTGGAGCTTTGCTGACAGCTGGGAGTTTCATCTCACATCTAACTCAACTCTCTTGTACTGTAATTTAATGGAGAGTTGAAAGCTTGTCCACAAAGATCCTTCTTTGTAGGATCTCCTTTCAGTCCTTTTGTCATGTCGGGTTTCTCTACATTACAGCCTCCTGTGTTATTAGAGTGTGATCCTACATCATTGGTCCTCATCCCACTGTGGAGTCACGTTTAGTGTGGAGGGTCCCATGAACCCTGTCTCATCCTGCCATACTGATGGGAAATTCATTTTTCTCCTGCATTTTGCATCACCCATTCACACACCCTCCCACTACCTAACTGGCTTCTTTCCTAGAAATCCCTCCTCACTTCCTCTCTCACTCTATTTCCTAGACGTCCAACACGCTGACATGGGCCTTGTACCATCTTTCAAAGAGCCCAGAGATCCAGAAGGCCTTGCATGAAGAAGTGGTAGGTGTGGTGCCAGCTGGGCAGGCGCCCCGGCACAAGGACTTTGCTCACATGCCCCTGCTCAAAGCTGTGCTGAAGGAGACCCTGCGGTAAGCTGCTGTTTTCGGGAGCACAGGGTCTGTGAGTGGGACGACTCAGAGACAGGAGTGGGAAGTGGGGCCTGGTGGGCTGAGGGTAGGGCCAGGGGTGGGATGGGAGGAAGGGCCTGGGGGACCAGAGAGGTAGGATTGAAGGGGTGAGCATCCTGCCCCTTCTTGGATCCAGAGCAGGCCTACATTTTCTTTTCCCTACAGTCTCTACCCTGTGGTTCCCATAAATTCCCGGGTAATCGTGGAAAAAGAAATTGAAGTTGGTGGTTTCCTCTTCCCCAAGAATGTGAGTGGGGCTAGAGATCTGGGGTTTCCAGGGGTGCCCCACAACCCTAAGCTGATGTGCTGCCCATTCTTCCTCTAAAGACCCAGTTTGTGCTATGCCACTATGTGGTGTCCCGGGACCCTAGCATCTTCCCTGAGCCAGAAAGTTTCAAGCCCCATCGCTGGCTGAAGAAGAGTCAGCCTGATACCCTCGGGGTCCAACACCCATTTGGCTCTGTGCCCTTCGGCTATGGGGTCCGGGCTTGCCTGGGCCGCAGGATTGCAGAGCTGGAGATGCAGCTGCTGCTGGCAAGGGTGAGTGGGGAGAGGCAGGAGGTGTGTGGGCCAGGGAGGGGTAAAGAAGGCCTTGGGGAAGAGAGAAAGGGAGGCGCAGAGTGGGAGCATGCTGAAGAGGGCAGCGGATGAAGGTCACAGATTTTAACCACCCCATATGCATTTTACCCCCCAGCTGATGCAGCAGTACCAGGTGGTCCTGGCCCCTGAGACAGGGGAGGTGAAGAGTGTGGCCCGCATTGTCCTGGTTCCTAATAAGAACGTGGGCCTGCGTTTCCTGCAGAGACCTTGCTGAGCTGGGCCTCTGCCATCCTGGGGCTTGCCCTAGAGACCCCGGCCCTGTCACAGTGATTCCTGGCCATTGCTGTGGCTCAGATGAGGAGGAGCAAAGGGGGCTGCCAGATACCAAAGGTTGGAGAAACTCAGTGCACTTCCTATAGAACCCTGAGATTTTGCTACTTTTATCATTGTGCTCAGTTCCCTCTTAGATAAAAGGCCATCCCCTTGTTATATTGCTTTCTTTGGGGAAATATAGAATAAAGGGACTTTTATTGATAATTGGAGACCTTGGTCATTCTTTTTGATGATTCAGCATCTGAACCCCTTTCTGTGTTTAGGAAATGCTCTCTCTCCGCTTAGGAATCTTGGTGGAGGCAAAACCACCTCCTCCCATGGAAACTGACAACACCATATGCTTTCCCAGACCTCCTAGACAGGCCTTGGCTTCACCTGGAATTGGTTGAGGCCCCACCTGAGCAGGAGATGCAGAGATCCTCCTAGACACTGAGAACAGCACCTTCTTTTGAGCAGAAAGTTCTTAGATATAGACACTACAAGGTGCTACACAAATTTTGGGAAGAGCTTTAGGCTAGGTCTACAGGAGTGACTTCTAGGACATCACCAGGGCACTGACCAGCCTGGGGAGCACCACATTGACCACACTCAGGAGGATGAGAGATGGGAAGCTCTTACTGCAGTTGTTGGTACTAGGACTTGGACCTCTGCTAATACCTCCAGAAAGATCAGAAGCAGCAGAAACATGGCCTCTGCCTCACAACCACCTTACAAATCTCTCTCATATACATCTGAGAGGTGGAACCTAAGTCTCACTTGGAACTCCAGCTGCAAGGGAGTCTGGGGATTATTGTTTTTAGCTTTCAAACCTCTTTACTATAGAAAGTCAACTAGAAGGAAAGCGGTTTTGCATTGACTTCCAATGTACCATATCGCAAGCCTGAGGAGTCAGTGAGTCCCAACTTCAGAGTCACAGTCCCAGTTGTAAATGTCTGCTGAGTCATAGAGAACAAGAGTCAAATTTCTTATGTTTGTGGGGATTTGAGTTTTAACTCATTAAAAAACACATAATTGTCCTGACTAAAATCCTTTAGTATCCCCCCACCAACACACACACCCTTAGCACTCAGGCAAATTTCAAGCTCCTTAGCGGGTTTAAAAGACTCATGTCCTGGCACCCTACCCTCCATACTCTCCCTTCTCCCTCCCAACCCAGATACTCTTGCCACAGCTGAGCCCAAATTCTTTGTATTTTCCTGAGCACCTTATGCTCTTTCAGGTCTCAGTACTTTGTACTTAATATCCCCTCTCCTTGGAACCATGTCTTCACCAACTGTCAAGTAATCCCAGACAACTTGCTTTTCCTTAGGACTCACCTCAAATGTCACGGCCTCTGCAAAGCTTTCCCTGACCTCTCTGGGTGAGTGTGAGCACTGCCTTTTGTGCTTTCCCCTATCTGCCTCCTCTCACAGAACTGAGCCCTCAGTTTGTTTACCTTGTTGTAGACACGACTGTCTCCCCATCCAGCTGTGAACTCCATGGAGGGCACAGATCAAACTCCTTTCGGTTTGGATCCCAGTGTCTAACTCTGTGTCTAGCACCTAGGAGGTGATTAATAAATGTTTATTGTTTATTTTTTAAAATAAATCTTTATTTTTCAGATTATTACAGTTGCTC